AAGGAGAGAGAGGAGCCATACATAGAAGAACTCCCTAGCTATCACCTGAGCTGCAACAAGAGCTGTACCAGGGGAAAGAATTGTGCCCAGGCCTGGAAGGTGTCCAGTCTGAGAAAAACTTACTGAATCATCTCTGAGGGTGAGATTATCTGTATTCAGTTTGATTAGGCATAGATTTGCGCATTTTATTTTATTTTACTTGGTGACTTACTTTGTTCTGTCTGTTACTACTTAGAACCACTTAAATCCTATTTTCTGTATTTAATAAAATCACTTTTTATTTAGTAATTTACTCAGAGTATGTATTAATATCTGGGGGAGCAAACAACTGTGCACATCTCTCTATCAGTGTTATAGAGGGCGAACAATTTATGAGTTTGGTCAAATGGATTTATCTGGGTTTAGACCCCATTGGGAGTTGGGCATCTAAGTGCTAAAGGCAAGCACACTTCTGTGAGCTGTTTTCAGGTAAACTTGCAGCTTTGGGGCAAGTGATTCAGACCCTGGGCCCGTGTTGGAGAAGATGGGAGAGTCTGGCTCAGCAAGACACGGTGCTGGAGTCCTGAGCTGGCAGGGAAAACAGGAGCAGAGGTAGTCTTTGCACATCAGGTGCCAGCTCCCAAGGGGGTTTCTGTGATCCAACCTGTCACACTGGGAAGTAACAGTGCACCAGACTGGCAGTTTGGAAGCCCCTGAAGTTTTATTCACATTTCTGCAATTGATGTGGTGCCTCTGAGTCTCATTTAGTTTCCCCACATGATGATGATAAAAGTAATATAGGTATAGTTAGCCCACCCTTGTAAAGTGCTTTGAAGTCTGTAGATAATAGGAACATAGGAATTGCCAGACTAGATCAGATGAAAAGTCCATCTAGTCTAGTATCCTGTCTTTGACCATGGCTTCAGAGGAAGGTGTAAGAACCCCTCAGTAGGCACATGTGGCCGATCTGCCCCTCCCACTGTGTGGCCTTCCTGGTCTCTGAGATCAGTTTATGTCCTGAAGCCGGAGGTTTAATATTCCTTCCAAAATTTCTATTGTTAGAATAGAATAGAACAACTTCTGGTTATTGCTACCTATATAAATATCCAGTCCCTTTTGTACCTTGCTAAGTTCTTGGCCTCCATGAATTCCAGTGCTAGAGGGTTTGGAGTCTAATTATGCACTGTATGCAAAAGTATCTCCTTTTACCAGTTCCAACATTTACATCTTTTCATTTCATTGAATGTTCTCTTGTTCTTTTGTTCTGAGACTGGGAACTACTTTTCTTCCAGTCCACCTTGTCTGTACTATTCATTTTACATATTTTTCTCATGCCTTCCTTATTTGTCTCCTTTCTAAGGTAAACAATCCCATTCTTATCCTACAATAGTTTTTCCGTACCCTTCATCATTGTCAGCATGTGCCTCTGACCCCCATCTAATTAATAAATTCTAGGGCCTAAAGGTACTGTTGTGATTATCTGATCTGACCTCCTATATAACACAGGCCATAGAACTTCCCCAAAATGATTCCCAGAGCACATCTCTTAGAACAGGGATCGGCAACCTTTGGCCCACGGCCCGCCGGGGTAAGCACCCTGGCTGGCCGGACCAGTTTGTTTACCTGTCACGTCCGCAGGTTCGGCCAATCGTGGCTCCCACTGGCCACCGTTCGCTGCTCCAGGCCAATGGGGGCTGCAAGAAACTGCGGCCAGCACATCCCTCATCCCGCGCCGCTTCCCGCAGCCCCCATTGGCCTAGGATGGCAAACCGCGGCCAGTGGGAGCCACGATCGGATGAACCTGCAGACTTGGCAGGTCCAGCCCGCCAGGGTACTTACCCTGGCGAGTCATGTGCCAAAGGTTGCTGATCCCAGTCTTAAAAGAACATCCGCCTTGATTTAAAAATTGTCAGTGATGGTGAATCCACCATGACCCTTAGTATATTGTTCCAATGGTTAATTACCCACACTGTCAAACATTTATGCCTTATTTTAAGTCAGAATTTGTCTTCCTTAAACTTCCAGCCATTGGATTGTGTTATACCTTTCTCTGCTAGATTGAAGAGCCCACTTTTAAATACTTGTTCTCCATGCAGATTATTGTAGATTGAGTCACTCCTTAACCTTCTGTTTGTAATTCTGGCTGTCCATTACTATAGATTTTTATAATATTTAGCACTTTTCAAATATTGGGAGTAGAGCTGGTTGAAACGCATCAAAATTCCAATTTTGATAAAATATTTAATTGAAATTTTGATTTTGTGCAAAAAAGCTCAGAATGTTTGTGCTAATTTCATCCCATTTTTCACATCTGCACTGGAGTGGTGTCAGCAAATGTTGATGAAAATAAAAGGATGAAATTTGAATGAAAATCTCAACTTGTTCTTCAGCCTGCACTAATTAAAATTTATCCTGCAAACCTTTGTGTATCTGAGTGGGCCTTATACTTGTAGTCCCAGTAAGATCAATGGGACTGCTTGTGTAGTGTAGGGCTGTCAAAAACTCAGATACCATTATTACTCTTTATTGCTCAGGAACCTGAGACAGAAGATAAATGACTGTCTGTATCAAAGCCAAAATTGGAATTCCAGAAGTTCCTTGCACTGAGCTCAAACTGCTGGTCCACACTTGTTGTTACAGCAAGATATAAATAACACTTAATCTGAGATAGCTTGTATCTATTGCCAATACTGTTCATGTTACTCATGAACTGCACTCATTTTCCCCTTAGCAGCTCTGAAATTTCAATTGGTTTCATGATGTCCAGGCTATATTATTCCAATACACTTCATTTGGAATTATCCTCACAAACAAGAGGATGTCTACAGGTATTGCAAAATGTGGCAGTATGGCTGCTCCAGGGCTTTCTCTGGGTTGGCTGCATGTTTTCCAGTGAATTTGCTCCCTCTTGCTATTTACAGCAAGAAATAATACGGCATTGACTTTATATCGATTCTATGTCTCTTAAGTAATTATTGGTCCCAATTACCAAAATATCTGAGTGCCTTACAATTTTTAATGCATTTGTTTGCAACACTCCTGTGAGGTAAAGAATACAGATAATAAACTGAGGCACAGAGACTAAGTGACTTGTCCAAGATCACATAGGAGGTCTGTGGTGAAGTAGGGAATTGAATCCAGGTGCCCGGATTCCTAGGCTAGCATCCTAACCACTGAACTATCCTTCCTGTCTTAGAGTTTATCTGGATACTACATTATTTGGCTCCCTAAAAATATTTACAGAGAGAAAAATGAGGGCCTATGTGTCACTCTTTGTTCTTCTGTAGTAGCATGAAATTGTTGTATTAAAATATCTGAGCATTTGCACTGAATGCGCTTGAGGATGGAAGTAGAGCCTTGTAATTTTGGCATTCTCTTAACTTTTTATATATATATAAAGAAAAATATTGCCTCAGATGTATACTAATATAAAAGTTAAGAAAATGTATATACGTTTTATACATGTATACAAATATATACATCTGAGGCAATATTTTTCTTTGCGTCTCAGTGGTGTTTGGTGTTTTTAAAATTATTGTCTTTAGGATTGTGTTATTTATTGTGTACATTAGTGTGAGAGGTAGTTGTGGATTCTAGTTTTTTCAACTTTGCACTTGTTTTAGGTATTTTGTTTCCTGGACCATTTTGTGGTTGCCTTCGTGTTTGCTTTTTTTCTTAAAAAGATGTTTTTCATGTATCCTTTATTGAACATGTGAGCGTAGTCTGCCATGGAGTGGTATATGAACAAGAATGTTAATAAAAAGAAGGACAATAAATTAAGTTTTGACTAAAAACTTGCAGTGATCAGAATTAAGACTTGCTGCTTTCTTTAAACTTGTTGAGCCTGCTGTGTAAAACTTGTACCTGTGTTAACTTACAGAGTTCCCCAGGCTCTCAGCTTAGTCGGAATCTGAAAGTCAGTGGTTTTACTAAAAACTGAAGGTCTTGAGGATCTGAAAGGCTTTAGTATTTTATTTTAAAATAAATAAATAACCCCTTTTCTAATGAAATATATATATATATATATATATATTTTTTTTCTTTTTTTTTTGAAAAAAAAATCACTTGGGAAGAAATATCTGAATGGACTTTTTTTTTAATTTAATATGTTTATCTTCCAGTTTAATTTTAAAACTGTTCAGTGGTCTCAATTTGAACCACTACAAAGTGTTGATCCTCTCACAGTTTATCAACTAAGCATGGTTGGGCAGAGTCAATACTTTTATGATGTTTTAGAAAGTAGTGCTTGTAATTCAGCAGATCATAGTAGTCCCACTCTTTCAGTTGGTACTAAACAATTTCTGCAACATATTTTTAGGAGCAATGACATTGTCATTGTGGTCAGATATAAAAATTCCCAAATCTGGACACTTACAGATGTTTTAAAAAGATATTAAAAATCCTGGTGTTTTTTAAGGGCTGTGAATGTTAACTCTGCTGTCGTCCCCAATTCCAGATTGGGTGGTCTTACATTGTCCATGTGATTGCCACTCCACTTCCTGTATTCATCTATATTATGTAGTATAGCTCTTTTGCCTCAGTGATAGGGACAGTGACTATTTAGTTGTGTGATATAAAAAACGTTATCAGCATGGGTTTGGGATTGGCTGCATTACTCATTAGTGGCAAAGCTATTTTAGGAATATATTTGAGAATTAAAAAAAATTATATGAACTGTTTGCTATCCATGCACCTGTGAGGACAGATGCCAGAGTTACGTTGAGTTCAACCATTGAGAGCTCAGAGGCAGCCATAAAAAAGCTGTTCAGATGACCAACGGTAACTTTGGTATATCTAATGTTGCAATGGTAA